CCCCAAAACCCCAAAACCCCAAAACCCCAAAACCCCTTGATATAATAAAATAATTGAAAATAATGTCAATATCCATACCTAGCATGAACATTATCTTAAATGGGACTATGAGCAGCCCAATAGCTAGCAATCCAGTAATGAACAACACAGGTACTACTAATGTAGTTCCCTACACACAGAAATCTGGGAGCTCTTTTATAACCCAGCTATCGGTGAGAGATGCTTGGCTGATAATAGTGGTCTGACTCTGCTTCTTTTGCCTATCGCTTTACATTCTCGCAAGGATCTGAAGTATAAACACAAACAGTGAGAGAAGACATCGGAGTGGGTATAAGTATAAAATAATTTTCCTCAGCCTTCTCTTCGTCTGTTGCCTGAGTAAGAGTTTCTCTTAACCTTTTAGCAAGGAGCCTCGTCAATGTAGGCAACTTCGTAACCCGATCAATGACGTTCCTAGACCTGAACTTGTTGTACTTGCCTTGATATTCGATATTCATATATTTCTTTGGCAAATTGACTTCTCAGAATGAGTGGACATATACGCTGGCAAAGTTTTTGATGCTTCTACTTAACGTGTTTGCATACTTTTCATACATATTCATCAATGTCTACTGTAAGGGATGGCATAATATTTAGACAGAGACTCAACTCCGCCGGTAGATATGCTTACGATCTCAACCTTCTTATGCCTTATCCTGATCTCGCTCGTGCAGATCTGTATGGTAGTAATGATTAACAAGAGAGCTGCTCTGATTCCAAAATACACTAAGGAGCGGAAAACCTTCAGGAATATTTCCAAGAGAGCTATTTTCATCACAAGTCTCATGGTTTTTCTCTTCTTTCTCAGGTATATGCACTACCTGATCTACCTCTGGGGACTTCTAGACAGACTATTTCAGTCAAATGATTACCGGATGACTGTTGAATCAGCAGTAAGGCTTTTCTGACCTTTTAGTTCTACTTAGTAGCAGAGTTCATCCCCATACAGATAATCGTGATTCTATTTTCTCACAAGAAAATTAGTAAATTCTTTAAGTTCATCTCATAGCTGTGTTTACTAATGATTTTGGCCCAGAAGAACCGAGGGAATGGACCCGGAGAATGTACCAGAATGATGAATATGGTAAATCCACTTTGTCATCTTCTTTAGGCACATTCATCGATGAGGAGAACACTAACTCAGAGTATGGCAGTTTCAACCCAAACTTGAGGCAGAAGTTACTGGTCAATGAATTCAGAAGACAATTGTTCTAAATAATTCAATTTTGCTTAGCTTCAGAGGGGTTTTGGGGTTTTGGGGTTTTGGGGTTTTGGGG